AGAGAGAGAGAGAGAGAGAGAGAGAGAGAGAGAGAGAGAGAGAGAGACAGACAGACAGACAGACAGACAGACAGACAGACAGACAGACAGACAGAGCACAAGTGTGTCTTCCCCCAAGCACAACGCACCCTGATAAGGAATGTATACAAGCTACATTTCCGGTCAGATGCAGCAAAAATGAGGGTGCATTGTGCTCAGGGAAATTCATATTGTGCAGTGGGGGGAATCAGAAGAGAGAGAAAGAGAAAGTGAAAAAAAAAAAAAAGAGAGAGAGAGAGCTGGTGCACCCTCATTTTGGCTGCACCAGACATTCATTATTTTTCAGAACAACAACACACCCTGACTATATTTCCGGCCTGGGGAAACCAAAATGAGGGTGCGCCGTTTTCGGGGAAGCACTCCCTCTGTGTGCACCCCCCCCCCCCCTCAGCCACATCCAACAAAAAAAAAGAAGCTTTTTTTGCAGGGCAAAAAGGGCGTCACCCGCCCGTTGCATGCTACGTACTCGCACATGTGCCGTGTACATAGAGATGCCTAGAAGGTCAAGAGGAAAAACAGGAGGAGAGAAAGAAAAGGTAGGGAAAGTATTGAAGTGCTCACCTCTGCCACCCTTGTTTCCGCGGCCCATTCCTCTGCCTCGCAGATCATCTTGACTGCCATAAGGCCCACCCGGTCCTCGGGGAGCTCCACGACCCCTTCCACCACCATCTTCTCTAGGATAATCCCCACCTCTTCCTCGCCCCCGCCCTCGCCCTGTAGCATTTTGTGGCTTCCTATCTGCAGCACACAGACACGGGGAAAAAAAAGAAAAAAGGCGGACACACAAAAGGTTATACCAATCCTGTCTGGATCCCAACAGCAACACTCTGCAATTCCAACCTACCAAAAATGGCACCAGGGCTAGGTTACCAGAGCAGCCCCGCACCGCTTGCCAAGCCGGGCCAAAGAACAATAAAAACTAAATATATATATATCGTCAAATAGAACTATATATATATATATATCGTCAAATAGAACTGCCCGGTAAACCGTAGGCAGAGAGGGAGAAGAGGACAACAAACGAGGGGCTGTGACAAACGTATATAGAATATTCATTTTTTATTTTTTATTTTTTTTAAGAAAAATTGGCAAAGAATTTCGATGTGACCCTGAGGCAAAAGTTGCTCAGTTTACTTTTCTGCAGAACACAGTTTTCTTTCGGATTTTTTGGTTTTTTTGTTTTTTTCCAGTGACATTCCCTGGCCCTTGCCTGACCGGGTTGCACGGGCAACCAAGGTGATCCAGGCAGCCAGGTTGGTAATGCAGCACCAGGGTATTTTTGTTAAGATATTCTGCTGCGCTTTCTGAAGCTGTAAATGAAATAAGCAACAAATGAATCGCTAAATTCCAAAAAAAAGAAAAAAAAAAATCTAAAAACAGAAAAACAAACCACCAGTGTTATAAATACATAAACTTCATAAAGTCATAAGCCGATGAATAACTTAAAATAAGTATTAAAAAAAATATAAAAACAGAAACAAATCACTAGCGTACTAAATACTACTAAATACACACATAAAGTTACATAAGCAGTTAAGGTCCTTAAGGAAGTAATAAATAAAATAAAATATATTCTGCTGCTCTTACGCCACCGCCAACTCTGAGCCTCTTTCTCCCATGGCGGATTTGCACTGTGCGCCAGAAAAGCACGAACCGCCAACCACGCTATTTTTATTTGTTTGGCTGGCGGTGCCAGCCATTTCGATCCCGCGGGACTGCTCATTTGGAACTCGGAGGATATATTTTGTACAGCTACGAGGTTCGCCTGGGGCACAGAGTGGTGGTTTAAACCGCAAGTACACGGCCCCAGCCTTGCAAAAAGTTTTTTGTCACCACAAGCAAAACTCGGAGGGGCCGTGCAGCGTGGGGCGTCATTGGAAAAAAAAAAATCGGTGGCCTCCGAAGTGGTGCGGGTTTCATGCTGACACCCGCGGGCCGATGTGTGGTGTAGTGGTGCTTTAAGACTTGTTTCTTCAGCTCCCACCTACTCACCTGCAACACAGATCAGCAGAGACCAACAAACCGCAGTTTAAACCACTGTGGTACCTCCGAGTCTCTTTCGCCCAACGTGCATTTGTCCCCACTGCTCACACTGTGAACCGTCGCAGGGACAAGGCCTATCAGGCGCTGCCAGCCATTTTCCTCCGGTAGGCCAAGCCTTTTCATGGCGCCATGTTAACCAGGGGGTGCGTGTAGGATACCTGGGATGGGTAGTGGCGGGCCCCACAGCATGCGCCTTGACGGGTGTAACCACAAGAGTTTTAGATTGGAAACACGGGGCACAGACCTGGCAAGCAGGAGGGCCTTTCATCTTATCTGCTGCATTTTCTTCCCTTTTTTTTTCCGATGCTCGGGACTCGTTGTGCCCACGTCTGGTGCCCTTGGACAAACACACTATGGCAGCGGTACTATGGCTGTGTTTAGGGCAGTTCATTTTTCGAAAAAGAAAGAAAGGCGACAGCCTTGAGATATCATCATTGAACGGGGCCGGCCCACGATAATCCAGAACGATTTTATTCTGGTTATCTGATTGAATCTCGATTTGAACTTGGGTCTGATTCATATTTCAACCAGTTCATAGGTGTATCAACGGGCCTACCGGTAGCCCGTTGGTTTCGGGCAGTTTTTGGGTCCCGTCCTAGCCAGAAGGGCCATGCTATGGCTCGCGTTTTGGCGACAATCGTGTTCCTTGAAATACCTACACAAATCCCAGACCACTTCCCAACCAGCATCAGCAGCAGAAGACCTGCCCTGCCGAACAGCAAGCCCTGATAAACACCCCCCGACAAGAACAGATTCCGATTCGATATGAACTCCACGACTCTTCCTTCTTCGCCGCCTGGTCAAGTGGCTACACATCCACATAACGCTGTTAGCTTGTCCGTACAATGCCGTCCGCTTGTCCACGTGAGACTGACAGGTTGTCCACATAATGTCGTCAGCTTATCGACGTACCACCGTTGGCTTATCCGACCCGCCCTAGAACAGGAATCCTTGACGAAACAGAAGCCCCTGACGTGCAAAGACGCCCCCGGACAAGAAGAAATCCCCTTCGACATAAACTCTTTATGTCTTTGTTTCCATCTTCGCACCTGCACTGCCACCAGAACAACTTGCTACATATCCCCATGCCGTTCTCCACATAACACCGTCAGCTTGTCCACATAATGC